ATACACACACATATATACATACACACACATATACATACACACACATATATACATACACACACATATACATACACACACATATATACATACACACACATATACATACACACACATATATACATACACACACATATATACATACACACACATATATACATACACACACATATATACATACACACACACACACACATAAGACGCATCGTGTGGTCGTGGAAAAGATGTCAGTCTGTTTGAGAAGGGTCAAATCATTGGCATCAAGCAGAGAAAACATCTAAGGAGATTGCAGAAACTACTAAAACTGGGTTAAGAACTGTCCAACGCATTATTAAAAACTGGAAGGATAGTGGGGACTCGTCTTCGAGGAAGAAATGTGGCCGGAAAAAATTCCTGAATGATAGTGATCGGTGATCACTTAAAACGTTCGGTGAAATCAAATCGAAGAACAACAACAATAGCACTCAGGGCTGTGTTTAATAGTGAAAGTAAGAGCATTTCCACACACACAATGTGAAGGGAATTCAAGGGATTGGGACTGAACAACTGTGTAACCTTAAGAAAACCACTAATCAGTGAAGCTAACCGGAAAAAAAGGCTTCAATTTGCTAGGGAGCATAAAGATTGGACTCTGGAGCAATGGAAGAAGGTCATGTGGTCTGATGAGTCGAGGGTAAGAAGAGAGGCAGGTGAAGTGATGCACCCATCATGCCTAGTGTCTAGTCATCAATGCAAGATCTTGGTGAAAAATGAATGCAACACTGGATGGAAATAGATCTTGTGACATTGCAGAAGCTTACTGAAACAATACCACAGTGAATGCATGTCGTGATCAAAGCTAAAGGCGGTCCAAGGAAATATTAGTGTGACCTTTTTTTAATTTTTGGTGGCAACTTTTTTTTGGCCATGCAGTATGTTTTGTATATTGATTTACAGTTGCATGATGTTTAATATAACAGCTTTACATTTACTGTAGATATTTTTTCCAAGCACAAGTTAAGTCTTCAGGCTCATAAATCAATCAAAAAGATTAATACGCCAGAAAGACAATATTGTCTTTTCCTCGTGCTCAGTGATTTATCAGTCATTCCAGGATAACTTTTATTCTTAAGGAACCTTCTGACTCATTTTTATGGTTTCTGTAAACAGAGATTATAAAATGTTTTGACATATTTTATGGAAGCCGTGATAACTACAGCAACTCACCTTTTCTCCACAGGTACTCGGAAACCAGAGCAGCAACATGTACAAAACACATGGCTGCCTGTAGGGGACAGAAACAAACCCAGAGAAGGACGCCGGTTATTTTTACGCAATAAATAAGCGTGAAAAACGTGGTGCGTTTGAAGATATACACCTCGGAGAGATCGCCGTTCTTGTTGTGGATACGAGCCATGCTGTCCAGCCAGGTCTTGCGGAGCTCGGGGGTGCTGGTGTAGGACTTGGCCAAGCTGTACTGCAGGTCCACCAGCATCTCGGGGTCGTTCTCGTGCTCCTTCATCTGCTCCGTGGCCATCAGCACGGTCCGGATGCGCTTGGTCAGGTCCTTCACATCTGAAGGAAATGCCGTATGCTGCAACGTGGAACAGGAGCGCCTTAGATGTATTTCCTGCTGCCACTGTTCGCAAAGAACTTTTATATGAATAAATAATCAATCCTGATCTAGTGCGAAAGCGATGCAAACGTTTATAATACAGCATTCACATGCACTGCCATAACAGTTTTGAGACAACAGCACTCCACTTTGGCCGTTCCCAGACTAGCAATTAGCTTCTTCTGTGAGAATTAAATAATATTTGTTTAAATTGAAGTGGTTCCCAACCCTGGTCCCTGAGGAACACCATTGTGCATATTTTAGCTGTTTCCCTACTTTGACACGCCTGATTTTAATGATTTGGTGATTAACAGGCTTCTGCAGAATTTGAGGAAGTAAATAAATCACTGAATCAGGTGTGTTGAAACAGGGAAACAGCTAAAACATGCAGGGTGGTGTTCCTCAGGACCAGGGTTGGGAACCGCAGTACCTGTGATATGCATGTCCTGCAAATACAAAAAGTGGAAGAAAACGTCTTAATATTGAAGAAATTTGGCAAAATGTGCATTATTTTATCCATTTTGTCACATAACCGGCATGTTTACATTTAAATTTGGCGCAGCCAAAGTGAAACAGGAAGTGATGTCAAAGGGGATCACTTTAAAAAGGGGAACTTCCTGGTCTTTGTTTATTGAAATTGTCAAGGGAATTCAGGTAAAGGTTTATGGGTGTTTATCACTGCTAATGTTAAATTAATGTGTGTGAGGTCAGAGAGTTTATTGTCTCTCTCAGAGAAGATCCTGCAGGCACCTGACGCCTCTGAGTCTGAGAGGCCGAGGTCATCGTGCTGATAAGCATTATAAAAATACTTCTGGTTGCAGATTCTCATGACGAGGCTCAAAGCATGTAACTTTGAACATCTGTATAAGTCTGTTTCATGATCGTCTGCCCTTGCAAGTAAACTGGGTTGAAAAATCTTCTCCTGTCTTAATGTGTGACTCTTTTTAGTAAGTAGATATAGGATATTTTTATCTAACAATTATTTTAACTCTGACTCTCTCTGACAGTGACTCAGAGTAATCTAAAGAAACATCAGATTTTTTGCTACTGACTGTGTTGTATTGTAGTTCTTTTTACACGCAGGCATTCCCCTTTGACATCACTTCCTGTTACTGTGCAAGCTATTATATTGGAATTACAGGAACAGCCTCTAAATCTTCTTTATACACCAAAGTTAGTTATGGAGTTCCTCAGGGCTCAGTGCTTGGACCAATACTTTTTACCTTGTATATGCTTCTATTAGGTAAAGTTATTAAACATCATGGGATAAATTTTAATTGTTATGCTGATGATACACAGTTATATTTGCCAATGAAGCCCAATGAATCCAATCAGCTACTTAGACTACAAGCATGTCTTAAAGACATAAAAACCTGGATGACCCTAAATTTTCTGCTTTTGAACACAGATAAGACTGAGGTTTTGGTTTTTGGACCCGAGTACCTTAGGAATTTATTTTTTAGTCTTTCACCCTCCTTAGATGGCATTAATCTGGCCTCCAGCTCTAATGTTTAAAATATTGGTGTTATTTTTGATCAGGACATGTCTTTTATCTCCCACATTAAAAACATTACTAAAACCACCTTCTTCCACCTGCGTAATATCGCTAAAATCAGAAACATTGTATCTAAAAATGATGCAGAAAAACTGGTTCATGCATTTGTCACGTCTAGACTGGACTATTGCAATGGTTTGTTATCTGGGTGTCCAAATACTTCTTTAAAAAGTCACTAACTGGAGTTAGTGGGAGAGATCATATTAGTTTCTCTCCAAAATTGGCTCCCTGTCAAGATCCAGAATTGAATTCAAAATCTTACTTCTAACCTACAAAGCTCTCAACAACCTAGCTCCGTCTTAAAATCGAGATTGTATTGTTCCATTTTTTCCTAAAAGAGCACTTCGCTCTCAGACTGCAAGTTTACTTGTGGTTCCTAGTTTCCAAAAGCAGAATGGGAGGCAGATCTTTCATTTGTCAGGCTCCTCTCTTGTGGAACCAAATTCCAGTTTCTGTCTGTAAAGCTGACACATTGTCCAGTTTTAAGACTGGGCTTAAGACTTTCCTTTTTGATTAATCCTATAGTTAGTGTGGCTTTTTATGCTGCTAAAGGCTTAGACTACTAGAGGACAAATTGACCTAATTTCTGACCACCACTTTTCATCATCTTTTGTATAAATTTTCATCAAAATCCACTCAGTGGGTCGTGAAATATTTTGCTAACAAAGTTGAATCCAAGCGGTTTTTGCTACCCGTTAGCCCTTGGAGTATGCGCATGTCTGTAAAATGGACTGAGTTAGAGCCATTTTTGTGTTTGCTAAGTTTGATTCTAAGTGGCGGCCATCTTAAATTTAACTGACTCAACCATTATAGCTCACACTTGGCTTTTCAGGCAGCTATTATTTGCAACAGAACGTTCCTCACTTTAATGCTCTTGTCGCTGTTGGCGCAGTTGTTGACAATAGAAAGGGACTGCTGGAAACGGGTGCTCCCAATGCCGATCACATCAGCTATCAGCTGACTGACAGCAATGACCACCTGGAAGAACAGGAATGAACACAATCGGTCTCTCATTAATGATTTAACGGATGTGTTATTTTTTTAGTATTGCCACCGCTCAGACATGTTTCTCATACCTGCAGGTGCGTTCGCACAAACGACCTGCGGCCAGTGTAGTCGAAGTTGCTCTTCATGAGGAAGTAGAGCAGGTGAGCGGCGTCGCTGCGGATAGAGCTCAGCTTGGAGTTACAGCACTTGAGGATTTCGTAGCACAGAGAGGCGCACATGTCGGCACGGCCGTCGAAGAAGGCACAGGGGAACTGGGAAAACGTGGATGTGTACTTTTAATGTCATTTTAAAGCTTAAGGCCCTGTTCACACCTGACATCAACAAGTGTTCTGTCTGATTCAGTCATAAGCGGTCAGCTCCGGAATTTAAAGAATGCGTATGGAGGGATTTGATCCCAGTTGTGCACTTGCAAATACATGCAGAAGGCTGCCAGCGAGCAAATAACAGTGTCTGTTGATGTTTTAGTAAACATTTCTAAGGATTACCACCTTTGCTCAAACTGAGAACAAGTATTCACATTTGAGTACTAATAAATACTGTTACATGTTCAGTGTTTCCCCTACCATTATCCAAAAAAGGTGCCCAGCCCTGTCAACATAACAGACCACCCTGCCTTCTGAGCTGTCCTTCACCCCACCCCATCCCCGTCGACAACAGCCAGCAATGACGTAGCGCTAAGCTAACGGCAAGCAATACAGATGCGCTAGCTAAGAATCTACAGAGGTAACGCTCCGCTTCCGTCATGCATCCTCCCTGAACTCCAACACTGGTCGACAACAGCCAGCACAAACGTAGCGCGCAACACAGATGTGTCTCCATCACCACCCCACCCCCGTTGACAATAGCCAGCACTGATGTAGCGCTAAGCTAGCGGCGAGCAATACAGATGCGCTAGCTAAGAAGCTACAGAGGTAGCGCTCTGCTTCCGTCACGCATCCTTCCTGGACACCCACACTGGTCGACAACTGCCAGCACAAACGTACCACGCAACACAGACGTGTCTCCATCTCCATCTGATTTGTTTGTTGAAATTTTCTATTTTCCTAACTTTTTTTAACCAATTAACCAATGACAGGAGGTTTACCTTGTAAATCAAGGTCCGGAGTGAGGCGAAGACCTGCTTGAGAGCCGCTTCTGACTGCGAGATCTGCAGGAAGCACAGGTGCACCTGGAAGACCTTCTTCATCAGGGGGTTGTGACCTAGATCTGAAGTCAGCTGGGTCTGAAAGCACAAGAAGGTTGGGTATTTTCCACAAATGTCCAGTAACAGAGACTCAAGGGTTGCATGTGCAGACTGCTTCTGTTTATACCTTGAACCCCATGATGAAGGTGCTGAGTGTGTCCAGCACCGTCAGACAGACCTCTGTAGAGACGTTGGCCTCCAGCAGGCTCTGACTGTTTACATCTGCCTCTGTGTGGGAGAACACTAACACAGACACAAAACTACTGTCAGAGAAAAGGATCCACACATTTCAGCTTCACTGCTAATCTGATTTGTTACAATGATTGTGGATTACTTGGAATTTTATCTCCATTAAATATGTAATTTGTTATTTTCAGTAAGATTTTTGACAATTGACATTTCGTAATAAATAATACCGTATCAAATGGATTACAAACATTATAAAAAAATTATATATGCATAACGAATTGAACTATTACTGGACTAAAATTAACTGTACTGTACTCTGATTTAAAATAAATGACAATATTATGGCCTTTTTTTGTTATATATGAGTTTTACACAACTGAGGTTTGGAATATGCATTGTAATTGCAACTTATTGCCACTAGATGTGGATGGAATATCTGATTTCAACCAAAGAGCAATCAAATAATCTGTATCTTGTTTAAAAAAAAAGTCTTCCAGGTACATTTTTACCAGTTATTGCTACTAAAAGGCAAAAGGTGAGCAATAATGTTTTTGCCTGGGTCTGTGTGTGTACATACATGTGTCTGTTAGCAAAATATCTCATGAATCAGTGAACAGTTTTAATGAAATACTCAGAAGGTACTCATTTGACGTTTCTCTACAACTGATAGTTTTGGACTCAACCCTATTAAACTTGACCACCACAGCCTTTGCTAATATAAAAATGGCTATATCTTGTTTATTGTTACAGATGTTGAGCTAAAATTTGGTGTGGTAGTAGCTGAGAGTCATCCCCAAAATATGCTTAAAAGAACGTAGTTTATGTTTAAAACTTTCCAATTATGGATTCATTTTGTCTTTTAGTAAAGTATATTGTCACTGGAAGGATTTGAACAAAATTTTTAAAGCGGGTAATATTTCGTGTAAGTTTACAACTGCTTAATTTTTGGCTTTGACCTCGATCAATGACTGCCAAAGCTAATTAAACTGAGCAATAACTCAGTCAATTCTATGTAATTTACATCTCAAACCCTTCTTAACTTTTTTTCATTTCATTTTTTTTTTGTTTTCATTTAGCCTTTATTTATCCAGGTAGTCTCATTCAGTCATGAGAACTCATTTTCAAGAGAGACCTTTTAGGGAACAGATGGGGGTTAAGGGCCTTGCTCATGGGCCCAGGGTGGGGCGAATGAGGGTGGGGGCAGGTGTGGGTGCTTCACCTACCCCACCCACATTTTTGATGTTGTCGGTACCAGGGCTTGTACCGGCGATCTTCTGATCACAGGCCCACCTTCTCTAACCTCTGCGCCACAACTCCCCACTCCCCAAAAACTTTGTTGCAAACATCTCAAATCCTTCTTAATTTTCTTGTGGGCATCTCAGTCCCTACTTATTTTGATGCAGACATCTCAAACCCTTCATAATTTTGTTGGAGAAATCTAAATCCCTACTTATTTTGTTGCAGACACCTCAAACCCTTCTTAACTTTGTTG